TTTAGTAGAATTGTATATATTTTAGAGCCAATCTTTTTGTGAACATAGAAGCAGTAGTTTTGCAACCTTGCATTATGAAATAAGGTTTGACGACTCAATTAAGTCAAATAAAAGCCTAGCGAAACCAATTTGTTCTAACTCCAAACTAGCCCCGTTGTAAACTAAAGATTATTTCATTGTATAATGTTCATGCCTGAGCATAAGTTAGTATGTTGGTATAGAAAAGTAGTACTTGCTTTAAGTATCCACCCAAAAATGCAAAGATTTGGTGGTCCAGTTTTCAGTAGTGCTTTGAGTAGGAAAACTAATTTTAGTGGTTTGAACAGCATGTCGCGTATCCGAGAAGGTCGCACATGGAGGTTTGATTGCAATCTGTAAATATGTAATCTCACCAGGTTTTTAAAAATAAAGTGTATTTGACAAAGCAAACTCAACGACGAAACTTTATCGAGCCTTTTGTTATTAAGACCTCTAGAGTTTATCCTTAATTATCTATTTGCTCTCTAACAAAAAATATTCCCTGTAATATCAGGCAGATTTGAAATCACATTCCTGTCAAACGGCAACGTCAATTTTTACGTGACCAAGGTATCAGTCTAAACATTAAATAAATAAAATTGTAAGTTGTAATTTGTTTTCCCATGGAGCACTTAAAAGTTGTTGAGAACTCGCTTAAACGTGTCGTGCGTTGCGGATCGAAATGGAATTTGGAAAGGTTGTAACTGGTTTTTGGAGAGAGGGGAAAACCGGAGCACCCAGAGAAAAACCTCTCGGCAAGGAAGAGAACCAAAAACAAACCTACCCCTTCATATACCTGAAGCATGAAAAAGGTACCCCTTTCAGTCGGAGCCTCCCCATAAAAGCCATTATAGGGAGTACCCACCCCCGGGGAAAGGAGGCAAGTGCCTCACCACTGCGCCACCCTTGCGCAGTTTTCGTCGGAAGCCGATTCAGTTGTTGTATCTGCACAAAAAAGTTAGTAGTTTCATGTCGATCAGTCTAATCCATAACAATTATTTTGCAACGTTTGTGCCTGTTAATTTCCTGATTCAAGGAAATGTCACCTTGGGTCTAATGTTTGCTGTTTGCCGTAAACGCGACTCTAAATCGTTCGATTTTCCTCTCAACGACTACTAAAATCCATAAATTTGGTCTCATAAAAGTTAGTGCCACGATCACTTCCGTCTATTCGGAATCGTAGAATTACGTTGACGGCAAAGTCGAAACATCAGGTTTAAGTATTACAATTACTCACGTTAGGAAATCAACAGATAAAACCTGAAAAAAATTATCCCAGTACCGATAGACGTGGGATGAATGTCTTTATTTTTGAGTAGTAAAGATAAACATTGAACGATAAATAAAGAGAAAGCCTAGCAACATGTTTCAAAATGGCGTTAACCGTAAACGTGATTCTAAATCTCTAGACGCCTGCGTTTGCATCGAAGTTCTCCAAGGAACCGATGGGACAGGCCTGGTAACAATTCTTTTCGGGCCGTTTCACCATCCCTGCTTTACTTCCTAAAATCCCTAGCTTATCCTTTTTTTCACTACCGTTAATGCTTTGAACAGATACCAGGAAATAAATTCAAGACTTTTTCCAGACTTTTTTCCGAAACAATAATTTCTTTTTCCAGACTCAAGGTTATCAAATAGGTCAGTGATCAATAGACACCTTAAAAACGAAGGAACAAAGCTTTTTTCATGATACATGTAGGCTGAAAACATACGGGCGAAAAGAACACGATTTGACCGAAACGAAAAAAAAATTCAATTATAAAACACTATTTGTTGTAGCTTTAAAAAAAACTCAAGATTTTTTTCTATTTTTTCAGACTGTATCTCCACTTTCCAGACGTTTTTCAGGTCTGGAAAATTGCTGAAAATTGCTGCTCAGTAAGAACCCTGAGTTTTCACAAGGTATTTCACTCCATACCTTACCAGTGTACATCCCCTTAGTGAGAGCCACTTCGGGTCACACCGGGGACGGATTTTGATTTTCGTCACTATCCAGATCTTATAAATACTTCTGATTGGTGAAAGCAAATTTTTAACCAATCAGAAGTGCTACCCAGATCTGGGTAGTGACGCGTCTTCATTATCGAATTTCTGCGCTCGTTTCTCGGACGTCACTTCGCGGGGAAACCAGTGGTGACGTAGCGAAATGTCGGTAGTTTGTTTCTCAGGCTAAGCTGGGTCATTTACGAGTGGAAATGCCACACTACACTTGATGCGCGTATCATGGCACAAAGGCTCTGCGTACGCGTGACAGAAATTAATGTGAACGATGCTAAAGTAAAGTGATTATTGGCCTCAACAATATACCCAAAACCTTTTAGCCAGGTGGGAATGAGGGAAGAAAAACCCCCTTTGAAGGTTTATTATAGATTGAGCTTTTTACCAGGGTACCGAAAACTAGAACGAACACTGGCTTACAGGAGCTGTGGCACGAAAGAGAGGGAGAAAGAGAGCTGCCAGCAAAGTGAGTAAAACATAAAATAAAGCCTCAAAACACTAAGATAAGGTATGAAAACACAGCAAATACAAAAGGATTCATGGATGGACAAACATGAAGAAGATTGGAACGGATTATGATTGTGGTTTTTCAAAACAGTTTTTCAAAGTTCGTTTTCGTTGTTTGCAACGTTTGATATACATCACTCTTTGGGAAGATATCTCATTTTTTGATACGAAGCTGTGACCTTGTCATTTTCAGGAAAAATCCTGGATATTAAGTCAAGTTTCTATAAAGCGTCGTAGGCAAAAACAGCCCGATGAAATACCTTATTTTTACTTAATTTCGCAAGACAGTATTAAACTTCGCGAAAAATCAGGAGTCATATTTCTCGAGCATTTAATTTCACGATTTTTAGAAAAAGATGGAAGGTGTAGAAGTGTACAGTTAATCTTTGCGATTTTTCTATTCTTTCATATGTAAAGGGTAACTTTGACCTCAGAACAGACGAAAAGTAACAACAGAATTAAGAATCTTATCGTAAACAACAGCAAAGAAGGACAATTACAAAGAATCAACAGATGGAAAGTTTGACGACTTCACAAGCGAGAGTTTGAAGAATTTAACCGCAGAGGTCGTTCGGACAGCGAGAGTGTTGCGGTGGAAGGCTGATGGACAAAATCAAACCAAAAGTGTATATTAGTGTGTATTATTTTCTTATTTATCCTTACCTTACTTATGCTTGTACACTCTGGGGAAATAATTATAACGCTCCATTGTCTCAAATCGTAAAGTTACAAAACAAAGCGGTTCGTGTTATAAATGATGTTCCTTAAATGGAATCGATAACTCCACACTACACATCCTTAGGCCTTCTGAAATTTCCTGATATTGTTAAACTGAACACATGTATGCTTTTTTATGATTATTTCCACCTTGAAAAGTTTCCTAATATACCTGTTTCATTAGTATCTGAACTACATAATTACAGTACGCGCAGTGCATCATCCAGTCAAGTTGCAATACCTTTATTTCAAACTAATCTTAGGAGATTTTTGCCCCAGCATTATTGGAAGTTTCTTTTGGAACGATATCCCGCGATCCATTAGAGACAAACCATCTAAAACGTGTTTAGAAAAGCACTTTTACGCTGGTACCTTGCTCAATACTAATGAAACATTATCTCTTTGATAACTTTCTGAGCTATTTTGTCATTTTTACTTTACATTTTTATTAATAATCTCAAGTCCTTTCTTATACATAACTTTAAGGGGCACAATATTAGCTTATCTAGATGTGCGCCTCTCCTCTCCTTCCAATATACAATGTAATTCAATTTAAGTATTGTAATTTCTGTTTTACACGTTTTTTCCATTGTAAATCTTTATCTCTTACTATAGTACTTTTTCACGTTATGTTTACATAACTATGTCTTAGCTAGGACTTGGAGGAATAAAAAAAATAAAAAAATAAAAAAATAAAAACCCAAAAACTCTTAAAATAAGTCACTTTTTTAACCAACATGACAGCTGCGATGCTGCGTTACGCAAAAGCTTAGAAATTCAAGCGTACTGTATCACAAAACAGAGAGCCTTTTCGAAGTGAAAATCTGTGTAAATTTCATTTTTTAACTGCTCTAGTACTTCATGAAAGTAAAAACTTAAAAGAATCGATAGCCAAATAGGTCTATAAAACGCGGCCCGCCCTAGTCGCTTGATTGGGCGTCGCCCCGACAAAATAAGAGATAAACTCTATACGGAATAATTATTGTTATCTTAGGTTATACTTAACTTATGGCATATTCTTACATAAGAGATAACATGCAACGTGACTTGAAGCTTTACACGTGAATCGGTATGAAACATAAAAATCCTGGATCAATTTAGCTTTCTGGGAAACTGCCCACCTTCCCCTCCCCTATGCTAACATTAGCACGTACTTCTTACTTAGGGCAAAATGATGGCTTAGGGGAGGGGTAGGTGTGCAGTTTCCCAGAAACCTAAATTAACCCAAAATCCTATTTGTGCCAAATATTCAATTTATTAAATCTGTTGCTTTTTTCTAGTTTAGTGGCCGACCCATGGTGAAGGGATCGGAGGGGTCCCGAGGCTAATATATCCATTAGACAACTGCTTTGAACTGAAATAATTACTAGCGAACATGCTTGCATTTTTAAACATTGTAGCTTTAAAACTACACTTGTGTCGCACGTTTTAATAAAGGCACAAAATAACGAAATATGCATGGCCGCTGGGGGGTGGGGGGGTGGGGGGTCGTTCCTCTCCTCCAGAAAAGCAACTTCTGCGAACCGAAAATAAGGGCAATTAATTTCCGTAACCTAACACCTTTTGTTTCGTTGTGGACTAATCAAGTAAGCCTCAGTATAATCGATGTGATGTTGATAG